TATCTCTTAAAGATATGCAGCAAAAGTCCATAAATATGGTTTGATAGACAGAAAGTGTTGCTTCTAGAAAAAGACTCATATTTCGAAAAGCTGTTGCCAAATCACCAGAAGAGATTGTGCCTCATGGAAAACGTGTGATGTATGAGGGTATTGCCGACTGCCATGATTGATTCACTCAGGAACGAACACCCCAAGTACTGGGAAGGTGGCATGTGAACCTATACAGCCTCCTGTTTTACTTCTATTGAAATTTCTGTATTTTTAACTTAAAGGAGGCTTTTTATTAACTCTGCAATCTGGAAAATTTCCCATAATAAAAATTTAAATAGAAAATGTCAATGAAAGCAATTTATGTACTATGAGAGCTTGAAATTGAATGGGCAGTAAGAAGGACAGAGGGTCACAGCTAAGCCAAGAACAAATAAATCCGTTGATTTCCTTGCTAATCTATGGAAGAACTCTATTTAGCATGTTCTGAAGGTTATCTCTATTTCTAATTTGCCTGTTTTCATCCCGTCCTTCTGAGAAATTGGAGCCCCAGATGCCCTTTCTGAGAGTGTCGAATGCCCTCTGTGTAATTAGGTGAGCTTCAGTGCTGACACCGGAGGTCTGTAGTGTAATTACAGATGTACAGAGGGCACAGGGACATGCACAATTCAGAGCTGGCATTTGGATGTTAATGGGGGCTAATGAAAGCAGACGGAAAGCCACCCCTTCCAGGAGGTGCACACCCAACCATCTTCCCTCACGCAGTGAAGTCGTTCAGAAACGAGTCCAAGTATATATCCCATTTAATTTTGTGTGAGGACATTGCATGTATCAGGGAAGCTGAAGAGTGGCACATAGTCCCAGAGAGCCTCTCCTGGGGACCATTTACAGCTCACAGTCTCAGCCTCTCTGCGCCTCACTGCAGTGTACTGAAGAAGAACCAACCCCATTGGGGGTGCTGCAGGGGGAGAGGACCGGAATGAAACTACCAGGTTAAAGACACAGATCTGCGTCTCACAGCAGGCCCTGTCCTCACCAAAACAGAGACTGGCAATAGCAGGGCCCTGACCCTACCACAAGAAGCAGATGCGCTAGCCAAGACCCCACGGGCCAAGGAGAACACGAGCTGGCCTCAGGTCCAGCCTCAAGGAGGGGTGGTGCTGACCGAGTCACCCTCAGGCATCCGCATGACACACTGCTGATTCACTGGTACCTGAAATGCCCCTGGTGCCACCAGTGATTGTCACTAGTTTGATTTGTTGTTTTCAGCAGATGTTTTTGTTATCTTTGCAAATCCTGACTTAGAGACACCATTGTACGTCTGGTCATCTGAATGTGCTGGACGGCGACTCTAAGTCCAGGTGAGAGCCTGAGGTAAGAGAAGCCCAGGAATCGGACTTCCGTGCTGTTTTGTTTCTTTCCTTCTCTCTTTTCCTTATGCTCCCAACACACTCCCCAAGGCCTCAGAGCTAAAGTCACAGCCGTAGGAGGATTCAACAAGTGGTAGGTTTTAAATGTTCACTTTTGATTCAAGAGTTCAAAATCTTGTTTTCTCCTTTCATAGTTTCTGTTTCCTTAGGTCTACAGATAGCATCCTTTGCACGAGTGTGATGTAAACATTTTTCATAGGTGCACAGGAAGTTAGTGAAATATAAATAGAAAAGTACCTCCTAATACCAATCAATCTCTACTATCTGGCAAAAAGAAAGAGGAAGGTGTTTATTACTCTGCAAGAAGAGAAGGCATGAATCAGCCTGCTGGGGCCACACGGGTAGAGATCATGAACAGCAGCGGCCAGGGCAATAGGTATGTGTGAGAAGCTAATGATTCCTCTTCTCACTCTGTCGATCCTGACTCCTAGAATACACCAGGGAGACCATAATAACTTATTCTTTCAGAGCAGTCTTCTGGGAGTGGGGTGGGGTGGGAGGCGATCAGGCCGATTCTGTGGTACTAATTCTCCAATCATTCAGGTCATGCAGCATCTCAGAATCGATATGTCTGCCTTTAAAAGAGTATCTCTATTGAATCAAATGTATGAAATATGTCAAGAGCTTTGTAATGTTTTGAACAACCAATAAAAAAAGTAAAAGAGTATCTCTATCTAAAATGCAGAACAGAGATGAATACAGCAAAACCCAGTTGAGTGTGAAGTTTGAGGGTGACAGGCAACAGAGATTACAAGTAAGTGCTAGCGTAGACTGGATTTGTCATCTTGGTTCTGGTGCGTGTGCCACGTATTCATAAATCTCAATCTATTAAATAAATATGCAAAATATTTCTCCTTTACCTTCCAGATGAAAGCATCCATTCGGAATTCATTTAACCCATTCCTTAGTATGAACTCTGAATCCACGCTGATCTCAGGCTTGCAGAAAAGAGCATGAAGCTCTGAGGAGACAGTTCTGCAGATGCGCTTGAGTCCCCCAAGTCACCTGCGGCTTACTCCTGATCCACAAAGCTCACTGGGATCGTTAGCCCCCTGTGTTCTCTTGATCAGAGAAAGCAAGGCCACCTCAAGTAGCACAACTCAGGAAGTGAGACACAAGGCAACCATGCTTATAAATGCAGTTTTGTGGGGAAAAATGTCAACCTGCGTGAAAGAGGGCTGAGGTTCACTGTTTCTGTTTTATTTCTTCTTTGTTTCAGTAGTTTTATTCTACCCTGGTTCCATTAGGGCCTAGTCCCAGTAAAAACACTACTGAGACTTTTGTCTGTCTCTTAATTTTGCCTGCCACAAAAGAACAGACCACAAAACACCACCATTGCCAAAGTATCACTAGCCAGTTTCTATCTCCGTCTATTTATTATCTACTACCTGTCCATCTACCTCCTCTCTACCTCCCTTCTTCCCTCCCACCTCAACATCTTTATATCTATCTTTCTGTGTAACAATGAGAGGTATACAAAATGGCAAAATGTAGTGTTCAAAGAAAAATGTAATGCAAAAAGCCAACCCACAGTACAGTGAAGTATAATCTGCATACATTTTCTATATATTTGATACACAATAATCAATGTATATTTTCTGTTACACAAAACCCACCAACCAACCAGAGAAATGTGTGATCCTGAGACCATGTAAATAAATTGTTCATTGCAACTGATGAGGAATTTCTTTAATAAGCCCTAGCTTTACTGGAAATTAATATCAGACATCTCATAGAGAATTCCAGTCAGTTAGGGTTTCTTGCTCAATAGGTAAATTAAGATTGTCATTTAAGGGTCTCTGGCGAAGTTCTAAGCTATTTTAACACACTCCAGTATCTTTCTTGGATGGGTGTGAAATGATCTTTGAAGTCGAATTTCAGTCTAAATGTCAGCTTTCTCTTCAGAGAAAAGTTTTAATTTTGCTACCATCAAAACAACTGTCTTCTATTTACTTGAAATATATACTAACCCATTGACAAAAACCAAAGCTATTATTTCATTGAAAATTTATTCCTATTTCTATTCATCTCATACTTTTTTTGCTTAGAAATTTGATGTTTTTAATTTCCTCATTCAAATATCCCAACGTTTTAGTTTTCTTTGAGTGAATATCAATATTTACACATGTATATTTATGACTAAACTTTATACTTTAAGTGAATCTCATTCTAATCACAGGAAAGGGAAAAATTAATTTGACAAGATCGTAACTCAGAGTTTTGCTGTGGGATTCTGCTCTCTGCAGAAGCAAGCAGAGACCTGAGACGCTTATCTTCACTTTCTGATTCTTAAAACTGCCAAACCAGTTCCCTTTGCTTTTCCCAATCCTCTAATTTTTATTTTATTATTTATTTCTCATAAAACTAGACAATACAACAAAACAACAACTGTGTCTGAAATACAGACAATCAATACAGGTAATCAAATTGGCCATAGAAGACCATGTAAACTACAAGCCATTTAAAATATAAAATGCATTTGCCTTCAGTAAGTGGCTAAAATCATTCCAACTACCTTTCCTTGTGGAATAGTTCTTCAACCACACATTCTCATTGATCAAATTCTGTTGGTCTACGCTTCAAATTTTGACAAGTAAACATTGCTCTCAAAATATTCACATTATGTTAATTTACTTATCATAGAATTTTTGCAAAACATTTAGTGTTGTTCATACAGACAAAAGCTAATGTCTGACAGGAGCCAACATTTGGAATGCCTAACCACGCTCAAGGTCATGACTGGCCATTGCTTCACCAGGTATTAAGTATTTGCCTGTTATGTTGAAGCCTTTGATGTGCAGTTACTGTTTGCTACATGAGTAAATGTGCATTTCAGCCTTATTTTTCTTAGGCTGAAAGCAAAGTCCTCTTCCAGTGTGGGTCAGCTGTTAGTCAACTGCTTGTAGCCCAACCTTTTATTTGAAGGAAAATATTATTCATTTTTAAAAACCAGAAAGAAGGCATAGGAAGCAACTCCTGAGCAGAGGTTTCTGCTGCTTTTGATCAAATATCTGCTGTCTATTAACTTGACACCTCACAAGTCATTCCCATATTGTTAATTAGTCATCAGGGGAAATAGAGAAGCACTGTGTATACACTTGGCCCCCTCCCCCACGGCCTCCCTGAAGGGTTTCCAGGTTGAGGCTTTCTCTGAACCTCAAAACTTCTGTGGGGAGGTTTATGCAGCCTGTTATTACTGAGCCTGAAGTCAGTCCTGAGCTGGTACTTAATCCTGTTAAGGGAAAAAGATGCTAAAATAGAATTCCTTTGTAAAACACAGCATGAAACAGATCTCAGCATTAGCTTTTAGCTCCTGATAATGTGTTTTGTCAAGGTCTTGTGCCAAATTGGATCCTTAGCTCTCACAGTAATTTTTGGAATAATTTTTACCACGAGCGTATGAAATTACAGCTTTTAAAAAGCAACTGTGTCTCTCGGAGTTCCCACTGTGGCCCGTGACAGCCGATAAATGAAAATGGAGGAAAAGGAGCCCTGCAAACGCAGAGCAATTTGCAAGACGGCTGGTCCACCTGGGAAGCTGATGGCAGTCAGGGCTGCTCGGCTGTTTTTAAAGTTACTTGCCTTGCAAACTGTAGATTTCTCCAACGCTGTTCTGACGCGTGATGTGATGCCAGTATGCGCTACGAGGAAGAGAGATGGATTTGGATAACGTCATTGGTTCCGTCAAGCTTGTCTGAAGCTAAGAGAGAAAGAAAAGATATTTAACTGGAATCTGTTTTGTTGAGGATTGAATTTGAGTAGCAGAGAGTAGAATCGGTTCTAGATGCCAGCGCCGTTCCTGACTGAAGGGTAATTTTTAAAAAGCAATGTCTTTACTCCAAAGTTTTGAAATTAACACTTGTACCCAATTAAGTTCATTAACTGGGAAGGGAGCATTAGGGTAGTCAACTGATTCCACCCAAAGTCGCAAAGGCTGAGAGCCAATCAATCAGGAATGCCAGCAAAATTCCAGGGAGATAGATGATCAACTGTATTCCACCAGAAAAATTAATTTGCATTTCTGTGAACAAGAGCTACATGCATTACTCTCAGCCTTCTACAACTTAAAGAATGGCAAAACCCCCTCAAAATATGAAGCTGTAAGCTCTTCAGAATCAGATACCCCAGAACACGACACCCGTGAATCATTTTGCCGAATTTTAGTCTCTTCCTAACACCCCTTCCCTCGGACAATGTCTTCTTTTCTCAAACATCTTTTTCTTGCTCCTATGATGGGAACTTATGCAGATTAGTCAAGTTTTTTCTCTAAGAAATGGTAATAAAAAAGAGGTGCTTTTTCTTATTTGAAACATACATTTTAAGGATAGCAGAAGGGACTCGCACATATCACATCACTTGCTCAGGAATATGCTAAGTACAAACAAAATAGTAGTTCATACTGAAGTTGTTAAAAAGATTCATTTTTATTGATTCATACCGGGTCTTAAAAACCTTAGAGAAGTGGATGGGTTTGATCTTTGTATACATACATTTCTCGGACACCTGAGCAAACACGGGCTTTTTGATAGACAATGTGAATTCTCTAATGAATAAAAATTGTCATATTCTCCCTTAGTTTATTCCTGACTTAGCAAAAATTGGAGTTTTAAAGGTCATCTCTGTCAAATCTAGCCTTGGACTCTCACAGTGCCCAGCCCCACCCATGGTCAATTTCACATTCCTTATATAGCAGACGGTGGGGCTCTTCATATGAGATTGCTGTCAGGAAAGCACCTGGTGTGATGTGACAGGCCCTTTAAATCCACATAAAGCCATCATTTTTACATTTTAAGGGAAGGTGTAGTCAGAGTTTGAAGGTGCCAATTTGATTTTACTTTTTCTAGTGGAAAGACATTTCCAGAACTGCTCTCTCTTCTATCTCTAGTCACAGAGTGTTATCCTCCATCCACTTAGAAGTCTGGCATTATCGAGGGTATTTTTAAAAAAAGATGGCTCCAAATAGCAGCTTTGCAACCAATTTTTACATTTTCCAGAATTTGGCATATTGCAAGCTTTCCTCCTTATGAACAAGCATAGGTAGACTTTCCTCAGCCTCCTCCTGCTATTGTGGGAGGAGCTAAGGAGAAGGTGAATCTGGGTTCTCATATGGCAGAAGTTTGGACTCTTTGGGACATGATTAACATCTGCATTTCCAGTCTGCCCTGCCGTGATGGTTGGAGAATTTCTACGCATGGGGCTCTGTGTGAAGGACACACCAGGACTGAAGTTCATCACCCCTGCGTCCCAAGAACACCGACAAGGCTCATTTTATGAGAGTGTTAGTGGGAGAAAAGGCTTTTTTGCTTTTAAAGCCAGTTTCCCACATGAGGTCCAAACTTAATTAAACACATAAATCTTTAGCTTGTGTCACCAATGTCCATTAATAACATCAATTAATTCATAAAATGAATCTTCTATTAATCACAGTTCTGTTTACTGCCTAACTATTCTTTTTTAATGAATTATAATTTGTTTATTACTTAGCATACAATAGATCTTTCTGAAATTTGATGAGAGTGATTTTCCTTCCATTTTTTTTCTGTTCTGGGAAATATCCCCTGCCCCCCCCGCCCCCCCCCCCCGCCAAAAAAATGATCAGTCTTAAACATTATGGAAACACAACAAACATTTTGTTTGCTGGAAACAAATAACTGGAAACCACTGGGGAATAACTCCCTCCATGCAGTGTCCACCTGGATCACCACATGTTCCTCTACTTCTCCCTCCTCATGCTGTCAAGCCGTAGAAGCCCTTGTATGGTGTCTAGTTCTTCATTTGTTTCTTTGGTTTCTCTTTATCTTTCCTTTATATTTAGTTGCAGAAAAAGATTTCGTGTTTAAAACCGGATTGTGGATTTTCTGGGGATCTTTATGCATCTTGTGCACTACACCTCAGGCCTTGTCCTCGACACCAGTCACCATTCATGCCTGCTGTGCACAAAGCACTGCTAGGGACTGAATAGCGTCCCCGAAATTTTGGTGTTGAAGCCCTTACTCCATTGAAGACAGGGTCTTTGAAGAGGTTAATTAAGGTTAGAGGAGGCCATAAAGTTAAGATCTTAATCCAAAAAAAGGTCTTCATATGAGAAGAAGAGACCCCAGGGATTAATGTGAACAGTGGAAAGACTGTGAAATGACACAGCAAGAAGAAAGCCATCTGCAAGCCCAGGAGGGGCACGGGGAGGAGCTAGCCCCTCCGCAATGTGGATTTGAACTCTGTCTCCAGAATTGTAAGAAAATGAACTTGTTGGCTAAGCACCCAGTCTGTGATATTTTGTTTTGGCATTCTTATCAAACTGATGTAAGTCTTCTGTGCTGCGGACAGTCTAATAGAAAATGTAGCATCTGTCTGATTTGTCCAGTGGTTTTTAACTTTGTTATTAACTTTAAACCATGGGACTTTAAACCTTTCTGACTGGCACAGTGACGGAGACAAGGTCTCAATGGTTTAAGAACTTTTATTAGAGAATTTCATTAGTTCTCATTTTTAAACTCCTGATAAAATGTTTGGTGAAAGAATTCAACAAGAATATATATAATCATCCTTAACTATTTCATATTATGACAGGCTTCAGGTGAAAGTATTAAGACAAAAATAAGCTTTAAATTATTATAGTATTATAGTGATTTCTTTTTTTTTTAAAGAGAGAGTGTGAGAGAGGGAGAAGAGAGAGAGAGAGAATTTTTCAATATTTATTTTCTAGTTTTCGGCGGACACAACATCTTTGTTTGTATGTGGTGCTGAGGATCGAACTCGGGCCGCACGCATGCCAGGCGAGCGTGCTACTGCTTGAGCCACATCCCCAGCCCTATAGTGATTTCTTAATTGAAAGAACTTTGCTTCAATAGGACCTGGAGGATTTTTAGGATCCTAAGAGTAAATACATTAAAAAAAGATGGGAAAATCTATATCTATAACGAGAACAAATGTCTATGTTTTTATACAAAAAAAGAGAAAAAATGTATTGTGAGATCATTTCTAAGCAATTATTGTGTTTTAAGAAATTAAAGGTGGACCTACGTCTGTCAAGTTAGTTTGTTCCTTCTCTGGGATGATCTGTGTTGGTCCTTATGGTGGCATTAGTTAAAAATTGCTAAACAAAACAAAACTAAACAAAAAAAACTACAAAATCCTGCAGAATTCCCTCAGTATTAACTGTGGGCTCTTTCCTGAAGGCAACACTCTGCTTCTCCATTTGCACAGACAGGCTCAAGATTCAGAAAGAGTGCCTCGGCACAGATGCAGAAATCAACTGGATACAGAAACATTTAATGGATTCTAAGACACTTGCCCAAACTTTCTACCATTTTTGGCTCTAACCCCAACTTTGTTGCATTCTTTTGAAACAACTGTTAGTTCTCTGGAATACTGAGCAATGAATCAGAAGTCACTTATTTGTTGCATCCCAAAAGGGTAGAGATCACAGTTCAATAAGGTCCAGAGAGTAGTGAAAACATTTTTGTTCTGAGGGTTGCACATCTCTCAGAGCCAGCCCACAGCTGAAGAGCATGATGTATGCTCCAAGCGAGCTCCGCAGAAATTAAGATAGTACCTTTATTTATGCTCTGAGTGAACTACACAGAAATTAAGATAGTACCTTCATGAACTTATCCACGTGGAAAGGGTTTTGCCTTCCTCAAGACAATGAGAAAGGAAAACACAAAGAAAACACAAAGATGTCCATAGCATTTCCTGCTGCAATGCATATCCCCTCTCTCCTGAACTTCAGGAAACTTGGTGCCTCCTGGTTGAAAGGGTAGTGGTCAGGAAGCAGTTCTTTTGGAGTCACACAGGCTTTGCATTTCTTTGACAACCTTCATTCCTACTGACTTTCCAAGTAGTTCTGTACAGCAAACAGCCTTACAAGCCCATAGCTGTTTAGACTTGGATGCTGATCTTTCCTGAGAAAGATGAGTTTCCTCCCCAGCTTTTTGCCATGTGGGACAATCCAGCCCTGAACTTGGAGAGTACTTGCATTGCCCAGAAGGGGGAGGGACAACTGTTTTTGTGATGGTCCTGGCTACTAGCCCCTCTTTGTGGTTCTACCAAATAAATAAATATGTATATATATTTGGGTTACCTTATTACTTTTTCCACCTTGCTGTTTTGAAACTTTCTCTCTGTGACGAGCATTAGTATTAATTTGTATTCATCTGTTTATCTCTCCAAAATTCACCTGTACATAAGCTAACTGACCAGGCTGGAGAGGTAGCTTGGTGGAGGAGCAGCGCTGGTCTAGCATGCACAAGACCCTTGGTTTCCTCCACAGCTCACACACACACATACACACACACACACACACACACTTCCTTTCACTCTGCAACTCTCTAGTGATGACCTAGAAATTTGTGTTAGCCATTGTGACACAAATCTACACATTTGGGAGAGATGAAATTTAGCATTTATGAATTAACTCGTGATTCATTCACTCGTTGCCTGGCTGTGTGTGAGCTGGTTGCACATGTGATCCCACCGAACGTCCACATAGATCATCCATATGCCACCTCAGCTTCACAGAGAGGACAGAAGGTGCAGAGGGATGATGCCCTCTGCTCACAGAGCACAGCCCCCAGCAGTGCCTCCGAGGCTGCAGAGCGTTCTTCCCTCATCCCCAGAACTTGGTACGAAGTTGCCACCAGTGCCCTTGTCTTCAGGAGCAGGTGAGCTGAGGACAACGCCACCAGGAATCCCACAGGACCA